CTCTCTGTGGCGAACAATGTCCACCAGCCAAGTACTGCGTCGAGTGCAAGAGTGACTCAAGTACTATGGAGATGGTCGTAGATCTTTTCAAGCAAACACCCTTAAGCAAGCTCAACGTCAGTGAAGATCCAATCCTTGTTCTGTCCTGTGGGCATGTTCTGAACATGTCGTCTCTCGATGATCACATGCGCATGAGGGACTACTATGATGGCGACACAAGGGAGACCACAGGCACCACCATTTTTGTTAGGACAAAGCCTCTGTCTAGCAGCCAGGTCTCCATGATTGGCTGTCCCTCTTGTCATTCTCCCATTGTTGGGCTGAGGCGATATGGCCGTTGTATCAAGTACGCTCAACTCGCTGTGCGCCTCAAGAAGTTTGAGATCGCTCAAATGACTGGCATCTCCAGAGCTGAGACAACGTTCAGCAATACTCTGTGCACAACCCAGAGGACGCTTCCAACATACTTGGACAGGATCTCCAGGCTTGTGAATACCTCCGTTCAAGAGATCATCCAGAAGAATATGCAGACGATCTGGCAGATGTTCTCTAGTTCCACGTCCTCTAGTGATCCCTCAAGTTCCTCCAAGCAAGATGAGGATATTACCACCAAATCTCGTAGGATGCTTGGCAGCTTTGCATCTGATGGTGACTTCTTCTTGAACAGCGATATCAGCTCTCTTTTCTACTTGTACGACATTCCTGGAGAGCAAGGACAAATCTGGTTCTGTCTGATTGCGCCAGCCCTGGGTGCCCTCAAGGCATTTAATGAGGTTCACAAGCAAGCATTCAAGTCACCAATTCATCAACTATTTGAGGCTGCTGATGTCAAGATCAAGTCCTCTGCCGTCAACTCGGGCTCCAGCAAAGACATTACGCATTTGATGGAGGAGTGTGCTCGTGAATGTGGTCTCCCACCTGATGGCCAGGCCGGTTCATCCTTTGTGCGATCAATCCAGGGCCGAGTCAATGTGCTGCTGCTGGTCTTACATGCAGCAATGCAAGTCCTCGAAAAAATCAGTCTTAGAGTGTATCATGATCACCCTTCGGCATCTGGATGGTCCAGGTTTGTCGAGGACCTACTGCAATGTTGTGTCGTCCACAGTCGCATCCTGTGTGACGCCGCCATCAAGGGCAAGTACCTTCGCCTGGAGATGCACACCAAGATGAACCTACTCGATGTCTACCTCAAGCACATGCAGTGGTTTGGCCATCGTCCCTTTGACCGGTACAACACCCTTCAAAAGCAGAAGCGAAAAGTTGCTGTCCATGACGCCCTGACACTGTTCAATAAGACCCTCGAGGAGATCCGAGACAGTGATCAGATCGACCTCTGGATGGATTTCCTGCCCAAGGCCCATCAATTCGAGGCGCGGATGGGGACAGCCCGCAAGATTGCATTGGGTGAGCTCAAAAAGCCTCCTTTAGAAGAAGCACAGTTGGAGATCTTTTGCACCAAGCAGACCGAGTTCAGGAGGGCCGGCCACTGGTACCGCTGCCCTAATGGCCACTCATATGTGATTGCCAATAGCAGGAAGGCCATGCAAGAGTTGACTTGTCCCGACTGTGGTACGCGCATCAGTGGCTAGATGCATCGGCTCTGCTTGGATAATGAGCGTAAACATGGAGTTTGAGGACTTCTATCGACGCATTCAATAGTGGGCTTGATCGGACAACTACCAACAACATAAAGCATATTTATTGTCGATTTCACGTAAAATGCTCTCATCGATCAGTTGTTGGACATCCTAATTCTTGTCTCCAAAAAATAAACCTTGATTATTATTTTTTTGTTTCTTTGATTAAAGATTCCTTTGTGTTTTGATGCAAAGGAACATAATGACCGAAGAATGGAGTGAAGGAGGTGACTAGGTTTCGGCGGATTTTTTTTTTTTTGGTTGAGGGAGAAGGAGAGAGAGAGACAGACAAGACTGGGAGAGTGGGAAGAGGGAGAGAGGAAGTGAGGGATGAGAGGGAAGAAAGGGAAGAGAGGGAAGAGAGGGAAGAAGGAGAGATGTGAGAGAGAGCGGAGAGAAGAGGGAGGAGAGAGAGGAGATAGATAGAGAGGAAACCGTGCGCATACATCAGTTTTCCAGGCTCCATCTGCTCGCTTCTCGGTGCAACAGAAACTAGACGTTGGACGAAGTGAGTGGTTTAGTATACACCCATAAAATAATACTCTTTATCGACGCAGGTAATAATGCATTAATGTTTTTCAACGGATCAGTTGAATCCAGATCGATGGAGGTCATTGTTACTTATTTTACAATACAATTAGGTGGCATAATTCCAGAACATCAACTACGAAAACTTGGCAGACGAAAAAAACAATTGTCCGTTCTCATATTAGTAGCGCTCTGCTTAGCATATGGTGGGTTGGCCATGCATCTATTCTCCATGGATGTAAGGTATTGACCGAGCCATCCCCTGATTAGCGTTGAGTCGTCGCGCTTTCATAGCATGGCCTCCTATCAATGAGCAATGCCATAGGTGAAGGGGCAGCTGGCGTATTTCCGAGACGATAACGAGGTCAAGTTAATTGCAATTCAGAACCAGAGCAATACATTTTTTTGGCAGCAGCACGCCCCAGAAGCTGTGGCCTTGCGGAAACAGCTCTCTGATTTAGAGTAACTACACGCCGACACACTTGATTCATCGGTTAGTAAGTGAAATTATCCTTTGAGCGAGAAGTTAATTAACGCATCTGCGTTTCTTTGAATATGGTGACATTCGACTGATGATTATTTAAGTGAATATCTTAGTCCCATTGCAATTTCTATGGTAATGTACAACCGCATCCCTCCTCCAATATTATTTACAGGAAATAGTCGCGCATGAATGGTGGACATAGCAGGAAGGTCAGGAAGGTCAGGAAGACCCTGCAGGCATCTGTCTCCATCTTCCATCCAACGCCTCTTCGATACCTCGGACCGCAGAAGAGGGTTGGCGATGGTCTTGCGTGTTCACGAGATGACTCCCCATTCGGCGCTCAAGCAGTAACGCGGGGTGGGGCCGGTGCATCTAACCATCCTGACTCTAGAGGAGTTGTTTACGATTGGTCATATATTCTACTACTGTAGCTGCTGGCTTATTCTGACCCACTGTCGAGATCGTCTACTTGGTTAAGACTTCATTTGGCATGAACGACTGTTCTTGAGCGACGGTGATGATCGCGTTTGGCGACACTCAACCTTGGCATAGACGAGTTCTCAGAGGAGGGTGTGCACCTCAAGTAGGAAAGATACCACATACAATACCGTCTACATCAGATGCTGAAAGACACACAGCGCTGACACGCGCCATCACAAGCGCAAGCTTTACATGGCTCCATCATGGTGTTTTTTAAACGGCTCTGGCAAAGGGTTTTATTGAAGATTCTCGCCGAGAAAGTTGCCGCAGAAACCCATTAGTGATGCAACGAGCACGAAGTCAATATCCATCCATGCCTCTAGCGAAGTACTTGTTTCAGAGCGCTTTTTATCCATCGATATGCAACCTGATGTAAATCCGATGGGATGTTTACCGCCACCAATTCATCCAGTCACTACTGAGCGATACATAAGCTTGGCATGTCCTTCCAAGTCAACAACGGTCTTCTCCAGCATTATGTGATCCAGCATTATGTGATCCAGCATTATCTGATCCAGTATTATCTGATCCAGCATTATTTGATCCAGCATTCTACCGCTCGCCAACAACAGTCATAGTCCGTCGCTTTTTAGGACGCATGGGCGTGGTCTGCAGTGGGGGGAGGTGGAGTCGGTGGGGCGGTGTTGATGGTGAGCGCTCGATCGCGCTCTCCTCATCAGTCACGTCCCCTTCCTCGATCACGTCCTCTTCATCATCCCAACTCACTGGAACCTCTTGTATGATCGCCTTTGCGTCCAAAAGGACAACCTTGGCGATTAGCAAGTGCTTTAGAATGCGTAGGTTCAGTTTGAAATGAGAAACGTCCTCAGCAATCCTGAATTCCTTATGATAAGGACGAACCCGAACAACGTAACCACCGGGAGAGTTTGCGAAAAGCGTCGTCAACGTAGGGCCTAGGTTGCATGAATAGAGATAGACCAGCCATTAAACTAAACGTCAGAAAAAAAAAGCATTCCATTGACATACACAATATACCTGACAGCATAAAGCCCATGAGGGTCAGCTCGCGACTCCTGGTCGTCACGTATAAACCCTGGAGGCGGTTCCGGAGCATGTCGTGCAGCTCTCTTGTGATCTTCAGCGTATCCAACAGGAACTTGCTCCCAGTGTTGTCAAACACCTTGCCTGCTTCTAATACACCAATGTTCAAAGGCTGCTGTCCTAGAACCTGCACAAGACCATCACAGCGGTAACCCATCCGCTTCCTCTCCAAGGCACCTTCCGTAGGCAAAGCCCGATCTCCATTTCTTCTCTTGGCCGTGTCCTCACTAGTCAGCTCTCCGTGCACAACCACCATGCCTTGAACATCTCGGAAAAGGGAGTTAATCATACCAAAGATGTCATTGCGCCAAAACGACTCCTGTTGACTTGCCTTTAGTGGTGCAGGCTGCTGACAGTAGAGACCAAGCCTATTGTAAAAAGTAAGCCCGATAACGCGTGAGTCAAGATGAAAGGGCGAGGAGTGAAAGACAAGCGGACGATGGAAAATCACATCTCCGTAATGAATTGGAATAAGCATATGTTCAGGTTTTGATCTTACCAATTCTCGATCGTAATTCGTATCCATCTGTAGATCCAGTGCTTTTCGTGTTCATACGGCCCAGTGATAGGTAGATGGGCGTCCGCGGCTTTGTGCAGCTCCTCGATGTTGTCTTTATTGAAAGTATCGAGGTACTTCACAATAAGCGGTGATGGCTGCGGCATTGGTTTCCAATTGGTGTCGCAGACCTCCGACCATTCATGCGCCGTGAATAGTTTGCGCGTGTGCTTATCCATTGTGTGGATGACGAGAGAATGGATGTGGCTAATCACGGAGGAAAATTGAAGAATGAATTACATAACCTCACAGTATAGACGAGACAGTTCGACAATGTTCCAAGCGCGCCTACTTACTGCTGCACTGTGCAGGTCTCTCTAGCAGCCTTAATGAGCACATCCTCGACGTATCGACCACTACATTTTAGTCTCCAGAACTGTCTCCGGTCCAGCTGCCCTACCATCGCCTCAAATTCTTCCACATCATACTGATACTCTTCCGGCGCATCCTGTGAGTAAACAGGCGCACATGTTATAACGTGAGTAAAGTGGACAAGAACACAGATATCTGACGCGATGGAACGCATGACATGCAACTTACCTCATCAATAACAGCCTTCCCTCTACCCTTTGGTTTCTTCAGCAACGTTTGGTTCTTTAATGTCTTTGCCTCTGTTGTCTGCGTTGATGAGGCAATGCTTGATAATTCTGTAGGAATGGCCACTGTAATGAAATTGTGAACAGGTTAACAAGCATTCGTACCTTTTAGCTAGGAGAGCGTATGCGTGTCCAAACAAAAACAGCAGCATGAAGCACTCTTACAAACCTTCTGCAGATCTCGGGAAATCCGAGGCAGACGGCGATAGAGCCTGGGATTCTAGAAGCAGCATCATTCAGAACTCTTATAAGATTGCTCTCTTCACGCACGTTCGATCCTACCGTACGGTGTAGTAGACTCGCACCTCGAGTTGATAGACAGGCAGAAATTGATCACTTACCTGAGCGGGTGCTCGTCGTGTCAGCCCGGAAGCGAAGACTCGGTGATGGGGAATTCGACTTTAAGACCTTCATGGAGGGATAAAAGTATGAAGAGCTGAGAGGGCTGCCATAAGCTCTCTTAATAGCAAAATGGATATCAGTGCTGCTATTACCTTGACGGATGTGTTGTGAAAATGGGCGGTTCGCACATTGGCTGAGAATGTGGATTCTGCTTCACCCATCTCTTGATGAGCGCGACGCAGTCTCAGCTCTCGCATCGCAGCATTTAACAAGGCCTTTCCTTCGTCCGTCCGTAAATGCTTGTAGCATTTGCCAGCATAGGTGTGGAGCATTGATTTCCCGTTTCTGTGAATCTCTTGCAGTGCCTCAACGAACTGCTCCATGCCCTCGGCATCCTTATGCAGGGCGAAATTAGAGGGTGTCCAATCCTCAGGTCCGTTCGTCTTGAAAAAGCGATGCACAGACAACCGCGAGATGACCGAGATATCAGCGACACTGGCAGACTCAGCATTGAAAATAGGGTACATGTCGAAGTCTGAAGAAATATGAGAAGTGCGAGAATTGACCTGTGGGATGTATGGATGTGTGAGCTGTGGGATGCTGTTGACGTGTGAAGCATCAGGGTTTTTTGCCTCCAAAGATTCTAGGACAATGGGCGCGAAAACTACGTTACCGAAGTGACGAACCGCACGCCCCTCCTAGATCCAAGCTAAGACTATGTGTTTGCTTACACGCTTATTTTCTAGTTTTGATGGAGGGACGTGTGGTTCGTCACTTCGGTGACGTAGTTTTCGCGCCCATTGTTCTGGAGATATTGCGTTCAAACCTCCTTGTCCTCCTTCACTCCCCCACTTTCTACTGTATCTTCGTGACAATACGGATGCATCAAAACAGTACATTAACGAATCATCCTCTTGCTCTCCCACTGTTGTCGCTGTTTTCTTTATGGGTCTGGACAGCCCACCCTTCACGGCCTCTGAAGAACAACTGCAGGCGACTAAGGGCGCTTGCTCTTCATTGGCTAAGTGGCTCTGGTCTAGCGGAACCTGCTGGCCAGCGCCAAAGGTAAGTGTCCTCATTCCGAAACATGAGTCCTGGATTAGGAAGAGGCGTCTTTATTTTTTCCATCATCATCACTTGAAATGCTTTCGTTTCACTGTTGTTACCATATTTTCTTGACGGGTCTGGACAGCCCACCCTTCACGGCCTCTGAAGAATAACTGCAGGCGACTAAGGGCGCTTGCTCTTCATTGGCTAAGTGGCTCTGGTCTAGCGGAACCTGCTGGCCAGCGCCAAAGGTAAGTGTCCTCATTCCGAAACATGAGTCCTGGATTAGGAAGAGGCGTCCTTATTTTTTCCATCATCATCACTTGAAATGCTTTCGTTTCACTGTTGTTACCATATTTTCTTGACGGGTCTGGACAGCCCACCCTTCACGGCCTCTGAAGAATAACTGCAGGCGACTAAGGGCGCTTGCTCTTCATTGGCTAAGTGGCTCTGGTCTAGCGGAACCTGCTGGCCAGCGCCAAAGGTAAGTGTCCTCATTCCGAAACATGAGTCCTGGATTAGGAAGAGGCGTCCCTTTTTTCTGTCAACCCTCATGGCAAATCATGCTTTTAGACTGCCTTCCGTGCTTGATGACAGTTGGATAATCCTGTTTCTTATGCTCCATTGCCTTGCCCAAATCATTTATGGTTGGAGAAAGAATTATCTGGCCCTTTCACGCTTGTCAGGTAGAAGATACAAACACGGATGTCAGTCTGGGTGGGGTACTGATGTCGGATGGGCCGTCTCCCTTTTTGTAGGCATCCTGTTCTAACGTGAATAATGAGGACAAGTTAATTGCAATTCAGAACCAGAGCAATACATTTTTTTGGCAGCAGCACGCCCCAGAAGCTGTGGCCTTGCGGAAACAGCTCTCTGATTTAGAGTAACTACACGCCGACACACTTGATTCATCGGTTAGTAAGTGAAATTATCCTTTGAGCGAGAAGTTAATTAACGCATCTGCGTTTCTTTGAATATGGTGACATTCGACTGATGATTATTTAAGTGAATATCTTAGTCCCATTGCAATTTCTATGGTAATGTACAACCGCATCCCTCCTCCAATATTATTTACAGGAAATAGTCGCGCATGAATGGTGGACATAGCAGGAAGGTCAGGAAGGTCAGGAAGACCCTGCAGGCATCTGTCTCCATCTTCCATCCAACGCCTCTTCGATACCTCGGACCGCAGAAGAGGGTTGGCGATGGTCTTGCGTGTTCACGAGATGACTCCCCATTCGGCGCTCAAGCAGTAACGCGGGGTGGGGCCGGTGCATCTAACCATCCTGACTCTAGAGGAGTTGTTTACGATTGGTCATATATTCTACTACTGTAGCTGCTGGCTTATTCTGACCCACTGTCGAGATCGTCTACTTGGTTAAGACTTCATTTGGCATGAACGACTGTTCTTGAGCGACGGTGATGATCGCGTTTGGCGACACTCAACCTTGGCATAGACGAGTTCTCAGAGGAGGGTGTGCACCTCAAGTAGGAAAGATACAGTGCGCAATAAAAAGTTCCCATGGACATGAGACTTTATAATCATATAGAAGTCCATAGAGTCATTAGATCTTCCTGAAACTTGCATAGTGGTAGAAGTAATAGGAGGTGCAGTCCACTGAGGTTCTGGAGCAATTGAATGTACGAACGCAAAGTCATGCGCACTGTCGTAAGCACAAACCTTAATTTACCACAAGTTGTCTAAGCAGGACCATTTTTGTATCTTTGTGGAAGCCATACCACGGACTCCGCCACCGATATTGCTCGAGCAGGTGTTCCAGTTGCATAGTATGCCGCGCACTATCATCTCGACCGCGACTCTCGTTTCATAAGCAAATTCTGAACGGCATTGATGAAGATGATGGGGACCAAATTGAACATGTCGACGGTATATCACCTCAGAATGATGGACAGACGGAGCGTGCCAATCGAACGCTTGAAGAGATGCTTTGCTTTTTACATTTCATACAATCAAAAGGACTGGTACAACAATTTGGTGAACCCATCGACAGAATTTTCGCCCTTTTTCCTCAACTACGGTCACCGCTCTCTCGTGCCTGCATCACTCCTGAAACCGTCCATCACCAACGTGCCATCGGCCTCAGACTTCGTCGCTTCTCAGATGATTGCTTTCGCTCGAGCCAAGGTGCTATCATCACTGCTCAGGATCGCCAAAAGCAAGAAGCAGATAAATTCCGCAGCAAAGTGCCTTTCGGTGTCGGTGTCATGGTACTTCTTAGCACAGAACACCTCTCAGTCGCAGCACATGCCAGTCGGCCCTCAAGAAGGCTTGAACCGCTGTATATCGGCCCTTACAAGGCTGTCGAGCAGGTCAACGGCAACGCATTCAAAGTCGACCTGGGAAATCTGTTGTTCTAGGCTTTCATATGAGTGACATGTGTTGTTGATAAGGGGGGACGAAATGGAAAGATGTAATGTTGAGATGAGGAGAAAGTGGCATGGTGATGAATACAGAACAATTCTGGCTTAAATACGTCCAGAACGTACCCACACGGCCTACCTGCTCATGTCGTTTGACGCGTCTTTTTCTGCGATGGTTCTGGATCCAAAGCAGTAGCAGAGTATGTGCCAGAAAAAAATTCGCAGCAGATGTAATATCCACGGGAGGTTCAAGGTATAAGACAGGCATAAAATCTAAATTACTTCCGTATCTTACAAGATTCTTTGATCGTCTCGAGTACTGGGCTTGACCTTGGGTCTTAGCACACTTTACAGCTGATATATAACCAACTCAGATAGTCAGGGAGATGAATAGATCCACAGCAACATGAAGTCGTCCCTGGGTCCGCAATCCACTTTGCTACAGGTATTCGAAGCAGTCGCAGGAAGTGACCGCCACAAGGCACTTCAAGGTCAGGCATGCCAAGCCAAACAGCAAGCAGATGTCGCAGTGCAAAGTTCTGTTTGGAGACATCTACAGCATGAATCAGCGTTATCTTGGCCGCTTTGCTCTGTAACAGATGGAGACCAAGGTGCGAGAGCCCTTGTTTTATGGAGCCTCTGTCCATGCGAAGAACATCTAACTAAGAGAGTCTGTTGCAGATGGCACAGTGAATCTTTTGTTATTATTTTTATTTCTATTTCTAAGTATTTATTCTTTTTTTTTTTTTTTTTTTTTGTTAATGCCAGTTTCATTCAGTTGTCCATCTTTGCTCTTTTCTTGTTGTAATTAGGTCGAAAGTACTATTAAGCAAGGCCATCATAATACGTCATTAACCACAGTGCTCTATCAGCTTGAAGAGCACAATGCTGAGCGCGTCTATGATGTCGTTCACCTCACAATCCCCGTTCGCATTCAGTATGTGGTGCGTTTGAAAGTCGGATCCTACCTCTGTACATACCTTTTTCTTCATATCACTAGTCTGGTCTGCTGTTGCTTTTTTAAGCGATGTTGATTGATAAGAGGTGCAAGTACTACGTATTTGCCTTATCAAGAAGAGATGGTTCCGCAAGGCCCATCAAGGCGACGCTGAGTCCGACTTGGCAAATGAGCCATTCATATTCCCGCCACTGTCAAGTTCTAGACAGGCAGGTGAGTAAGGGATGGAGGAGCAAGAGCGAGTACAAGGTAGGAAGATATTTTATTGTAGACTAGGGTTTGACTAGGGCAACTAAGTGGGCCGTTTGTACGTGAGTAAAGTATGGCTCGAGGCCCCAGATCGATAGCTTATATCCAATAAGCTCCCGTGCTCGGAACCGTGACATAAAGTAACTCCCATGGAATAGGCAAGGTAGACACGGGCAAGCGCGTACTTGGAACGGGCAAGCAACCTTAAACAGGATATGCTTTCATTCAGACTCGCGTGGCGAGCAATTGCAATTCTGCCCGAACCTTGATTCGCGACAGAACCCCTCTCTTTGGAGCGACTCCCCGGGAGCGCAAAACAGGATCGGGCTTGGCAGGATACTGCTGATGGAGCTCCTCGGTGAGATCCTTGCAATAAGCGAGGTTCTTGGCTGGCTCCCAAGTCCGGTCATCCGGAGCGAAATCCTTCCAATCAACAAGATACTGCAACTTGCTGTAGCGATGTAACAATAGTCATCATAGTATATATATTCATGCACAGCAATTACTAATAAAGTCAGTTCTCTTCACTTTCTTCGCCTTGTTATAAGCGGTAACGCGAATCCAAGATCGATTCGACTTCGTACTCGGCCTCGCCTTCAACCTCAACTGGAGGGGCGGAGGATTAATATGACCTGTGATCTCATTCTTGTTGTAGGGTTCAAGCAATGAGACGTAAGACCAGATGAATGCGGCGCTTTTTTTATTAACGAGAATCCCCATAGACATAGGACTTATTAACTAATCCGCTCCGGAGATCTCGATGAAGAAGTAATGAAGGGATTTTTTTTTCAGAATGTTGGCGTTGCAATTTCTCAACAGTACCGTTGAGAATCGCACTGAGACCTATAGAACATATTAATGAATAGTATTTCCACTCTCATTCCAAGTTTTGCTGCAATTCAACCAGCCATTACTGAGATATTTGTGCTACTGCAGAGTATTTAAAACTTGTTCTAGTTTTGTCTGGTACTGTATGTTGTTTCCAACTTTCAGAGGAACTGCTTGAGGGCAGGCGAGCCTATGTTCGGTCTTATCCAGAGCAGGAAAGTCGATGCCGGCCGATCGCTCATCTTCTTCCCGATTTCGTCCAGGCGTGCCTGTAACATATGAAATCGATGATAAGGCATCAGAAAAAGCAGGGGGAAATAGAATGAGAAAGAGAGAGAGAGAGAGAGAGTAGGGTAGGTAGTCAAAAACAGACAGCGTGGCGTTACCTTGGCCTCAAGCAGTACCGGCAGGTGCAAGACCATCTGGCCCAGCTGGCTAGTCTGCGCTGGAAGATGAATCGCGCCGTATTGCTGCATGATGTAAATTCCCGGTCCTGCAAGTTCCATCCAGTAAAGCCGTACCACAAGGCCTACAGTGATGGCGAAATAGATAGATATTAAAAGCGACGTGCATTATTGAAGCTCAAACCATCTATTTTCCATGCCACTCGCCGAAGAAAAATGAACTACCTGCCACAAGGACACCGATGGGCTTACTCACGCCACTGTTGATAGCCGCCTTCATAAATCGGCCGAGGCGGATGAGATCCAAAGAGACCTTTTTTTTCTCGCCTGCCCTTTTTTGAGAGGTGATCTTGCAAAAGAAAATTTCCTTGCCGTCAACGCTTAGTGTCACATCTGGCCGTCTTGTTTTGACATGGGTGGATAGGGTGTCATAAGTAAAGTTGTGGTCTCTTCCTTGCAACGCCGACAACATGGAAGCCACGTAATGGACAGTGAAGTCCGCTTCACATGAAGTTGATGGCACAGCCTGTACATGACTGGCGAAGGCATACATAGCCTCCAGACCGCAGTTGTAGTCCGTAGCTCCTGGCTTGTACTCTGGGAAGACAACATCTGCTGGCCGCGCGGTTGCTGAAAATTTAGCGAGTTTCCGTGCAACTTCAAGAAGTTCCAGTTGATCTTGTCCTGGAAGCTGATGCTCATCCATGTCCTGCTCCTTTCGTAGCTCCAAGAGCGCAGCATATAGGCCGGATCGCTTGACAATGGGCCCTGGCTCTTGATCCTCGTGGCATATGAGGATATTATTTAAGAGTAATATCTCATCTGAATGTGATGCAACCTTCAGGTCTTCCTCTTGCTTGATCTCTTGTAGGCAGCGCTTCATGTATTGTGTGAGATTAACCTCGCAAATAATAGCGCCGTCGGGCAGCTCCAAGTCGCACGTAACCTCGATCGCATCTGGTATGTCGTCACTGCAGATCTCTTCGTCACCGCTGCGAGATGTGTTGGTAGGGTTGCTGACCAACGGACCCTACAGAGTAAGGAAACACGAGTTTAGGTACCACTGAACTTATCACACAATAACCGCGCCCTCCGATGAAAATAAAGATGTAGTCAACGTACAAGGAACAGCTACCGTGCAATATCTGTAGTATTTGAGGACAGCTTGCATGGAGAGAACAGGAAGAGGTTACTATGATGTGAAAAATACAATAGACAGGCCTATCCTGGGCACACTACCCAGATATACCTCGGTCTCCGAGAACGAGGAGGATGGAGGAGGAAAAGAGAACTTCTCTCGAACCCTTCTGTTCGTATGCTCGATGACTGGTGAAATGGCATTCGTCAGTGCCCTGGCAGCGCCTGATGCCACTGCACTGGCCAGTTCCTCTTGATCGTCCTCCGCAGGACGAGCAAAAATCTCTCGAAGTGCCCTGAGATTCCTTCTATCCTACAAATATAAAGTGCAGAGTGTCAGGACCTCCGACAAGGAGAGAAAGCTATACAAAGAATAAAAAGGAGAGAATATACTTTTAACGCAGCTCGTGTCTCGGTTGCTCATTGCTGCTGCTCCTGAGAGCCGGTTTCTTGAACGCAAGCAAGAACTTTGTGGAGCGAATCCATAGCCACAGTGTATGTTACATAGCGAAACGATTTTGCATATTGCGATATCAGCTCCTTTAGAGTCGCAGCTTGATGCCGAAGGACAAACTGTATTCGAGCGAGTTGCTGCCCAGGACTGAAAGTGAATGTCGTTCTCCTCTTCTTCGTGGCGCGTTTATCGTCGGACATGCTTGCGATGTGGCTCTGTAAAAAGATGTGGTGTAACTGGTGGCGATGTTGCTGACTTGATGCGCAGGGTCTTTTTTGTGGAGGGGAAGAGACTACTAAATTTGCCATCTGACTTCAGCACCCTTGTCTACTTGAAAAAACACCACAACCCTTTTCTCTTAATTGGCCTCCATCAACTACTGAACCGAGCGACTGGTCGTTAGAAGAAGAGCAGGATGCCCTCCTTTGCCATTGGCGATGCCTCCCATGGTAATCCATGATCTTTCATTTGGTTTAGTCTTGCGTCTTTTCGGAGAATTGTGGAGGAAAGGCAGCTGTATGCATTACCGATGACGGTTCGTGGGGTCGAAGTAAGGTCCTGAGGGTGGCCAGGGGGCCTCTGGCCTTTAACGCTCATGGGACTGAACTCCTACGCGCCTTCGCGTCGCTTCTTGCCGCGCGGAGTCATCACTCTTCTATGGTCGTGCCATACTAGTCTGTTGATGGATGAGGCTGCTTTGACGCCCCTTGTGCCTGGAGACGTTCAGGTCAAGTCTTCTTGACCCTCAAGGGTATATCCATCCAACCACATTTCAAGTTTTTGCAGTATCATCTATCTGTCTGTGTTGATCAAAATGTACTTGCACTGGCGTTTCTTATTATCACTTCTAGACCTTCGGATACGACGTGAAGCGCCAAGGATCGTTTAACTATTGCATTATACCATCAATCAATCATACATCCCGCTCGCTCGCACAAGGAAAACTTTCCGCAAAAGGATAACACTTGCAGGTATGCCAGTTTGCAAAGCACTTTGGCTTAAGCCTTTTCCGCATGCACACTCTAGTTCCTCTTACTCATTTCTTTTCCATTTCTTTTTTGCTCCGGATCCTTTCGCTACGCTTCGTTTCCCTGTGGGTCACCCTGTATCTCCTGTCGGTAGCCCCGTTTTCTTCATCTCATAAATGGATCATGTTGATTTGCTGTTCGTGCTTCATTGCAGATCAACCTAACTGAAGTTATTTAATCACTGCCCCTGAATCCCCTTCCTCAACTCATACGTGCGAGACCAACAGGCATTGCCCCTCGCTATAACTGGTGTCCGCAGCCTACCAAGGGCCATGCGGCGTGGCATTGTCGATACGCCTGGTTCACGGCCGAGCCTCCCCTTTCCAGACGCGAGCAGTTCAGAACAAACGTCGTACAGGATGTACTAGCAATGCCTGCCTTCGATGTTAGCAGATGCGAGAAGACCCGGTCCGTGGGATGCTCCGCCTACAATAGGGGTTCTATTTCAACGCGTCGACGAAGAATCCTGAATCAATCGATCTCTGCCATCTTTCCAAGCTCATTGATGCGAAGACATCGGGGAACGGGATCTTAGAGTCAACACCGGCTTCGCAAGGAACATGACCCTCTTGCTCTTCCTCCCTTGGCTCTTGAGACTCAACTATTGCTTGCGGGTGCCGACCTGTCGCCGAGCGTTTTCAAGTGCAAGTTGGGCCACACTTCAGTCCTGTCCGCACGTGTTTAAGTAATGCAATCGAGTTTAGGCTGCGCAGAATGGGATGGGAATGAAAAGCATAGCATATCCTTAATTAAGAATGGCTCCCTTGTTGGTATGATGTTTGTAATATATAATACAGTTATAGTAGCCCAATAACAAATAGGTAACAGCAATCGGAACAAAGCCAAAGCATCGCTTGGCGTTGAAGCATTCCTCGTTCGAAGCGAATGGCTCCGTTCGACTGCGAGGTGAATCGAGCGGTGCAGCAGGGTCGCTGAAGATAGGGGTAAGGTCGCGAAATCACAAAAACCAGCAGTGAGATCTGTGTACTTCAGATGTTGCACTTGTTTGTGTTGATGGCCAAGTTGGTCTTATTCAGTACGTACATACTCAATCCGTTTATGCCGATCTCGGGGGGATATCGCGTTTCTGTCAAGAGTTGAAACCAGAGGACATGTTGCCGAGGGCCTGGTTCATTACCCGTTTGAAAATGATTAGATAAAGGCTTTAAGCTATCGTGCATGAATGCAGTTAACGGTTGGTCATCCTCAGGGATTAGCTCAGGATGGATCAATTGCAGAATAATGGCATTGCCAGTAAGACGCGTAATGCTTTCAAAGATTAATGGCAGATTACCTGCTCGCTCTTAAAACTACTCTATCCGAGACTGCCTATATAGTGTATGGCACTCGTGCCTCAAGCATGACAAAGCTTGCCATTTGGGCAGCAACCTGTCTTTCCTCCTTTAAGCCGTACACAGTAGGTTCCTTTTCGGCAGCATGCACCTCCCTTACAGCAGTTGGAGTTCTTGGGGCAACAGCCCTTCCCGTCGCATCCCATTTGACTGTTGGGGCAACATCCTGGTCCGACGCAAAATTTACCAGCACCGCAACAACCACGTTTGGGGCAGCATCTACCCCCGAGAGGACAGCACCGGGATCGATCGTTGGAACAAAGGCCAGTTCCGCCAGGACAGACTAAAGCTATGCAATATTTTTAGATCAAAAGTACAATGGTGTTAATTTTAAAACCATCGTTTCCAGTCTCCATGGGCTACATAAATTGGCTTTCTTTTACGTGTCAGACTTGCCATACCTTTTCGTTTCTCTAAGAGATTATCAGCCTCGAGATCGAACGGATCATCGCGACGGCTCAAGACCGAGCTGAAGTGGGGCTCAATTCCGTTAAAGACAGGGGAAAGGGCTGGGATTTTGTCCTCACCAGGAGTGGCGCCATCGGCAACAGCTACAACGACGGCGGCGATCGAGATTAGAATGGAGATCTTCATTTTGTGGGTCGGAGGTTGTGATTGTTATAAAAAAAAAGAAAAAAAAAGGCAGATGCATTTTTATATGTCCGTAGACAGATTCGCGTAAAGAAGAAAGAGCCAGATCGAATCATGCGGAAAGGAATGGGGCACAAGTGCGGCGTGTCTCCGCGCCGCAGCAAAAATCGAAAATCAGGGCAGTTGTGAGCAGCTCTTTTTCAGGGGAACAATGCAAAGTGTCGAGGAACATGTACAGTAAGAGGAAGTATGGCTGGGAGAATGGGGCTGCGGCTCTGTTGATGTGTTCTAGAAACTAGCTCAGGGAGCTTAAATAAAGTTGTGCGTCCCTGAACACTCGCTCCTTTTAGGCTCATTGGTCCGGACGGAGACGAGCATGTGGCGATGAGCATGTGGCAGTGAACCATTGTGCAAATGAGCGCGCGTGGGCGAAACGAGACTATTTGCTGGCATGTCCTTCGCGTTGCAGTAGACAGAGGCCATGCGTACGGGACAGCACGGTGCTCGGCGGCGACCCCAGTAGTCCAGGGCTGGGTATATGCATACATGCAGCAATGCAGCACGATGAGGAGCGGTTGGCAATGTGGAGCGGACATTGTCACACAGGTGTACAAGGAACACCCCTACTCCAGTCTCGTCGCTGCGCCCTTGTTGTAGGAATCGTAGTAGCATACTGGGTAAGCAGGGTGGTGCGGCACTGAAAGCCACATCAGATGCTTCGTTTACTAAACGTAGTAGACTAGTCACTACTACGGCGTTGAGGACATTCCCTCTTTCCTTCACTTTCCCTCTTTTATATACTTCCTCTAATCCTCTCTTCTCGCGGTAAGGTCTTGTCAAAACCGAGGAAGGGCTGTAGACTGACGGGCAATGGGCGTTCGGGTTGATCCCGTGCAAAGCGTTTCGTGAATCCATTGTCCTTCACTCCATGACTTGGAAAGGTCTGTAGCCCGACATGGGTGGTCAGCAGCGCCTTCAGTCTTGTGAAGGGTCTGCCTCCTTGCGCTCGAATTTGAAGATTTGGCTCTTTTTACCTTTCTCATTTCCTCATCCCTGCCCTTTCGGGCGGTTGCCAAGTCGGCGACAGTGTTCCTGGTTATTTTCCACACCTCATTTCTAGCCGACTAAGGTGATGTTTGCAGAAACTCCATCTGGGAAGGTCTCTTTCCCGTGTCTTTTCCAAGAGTCTGCCTGACTACAAAAGATATATCGTTGTGCAGCGGCCACCAGTAGGTAATGCATTCATGCTCACTTTGCAGCGGTGTCTAGACTTGCCGCAACGGTGCTGTTCTCGTCCCGAGTTCTAAGGGTAATAGTGCTACTCCAGCCCACAGTCCCGCAAGAATCTCATCACCTCTCTTCCCCGATGTATCTGGTGTTCAGTGTCCATATACTTTTTTATTATTATTTATTGGCGCCAAATCCCCTCAGATGTAGGCGTGTCAAAGGTTTACTTCATCCGGCTGACTATTACGACTATTATAAAACGATAGTCGCACTGACGACAATTGCGGTCAAGTCAAGGCCCGGAGGCTCCGACGCTATTATTTTTCGATTTGCCCAGCCTAGGCAATTTCAACAAATCTCTCCCTGGAATTCTCTTTTTGGAGTGAGCAGATGTCAAAACGCGGACAGTCTCGGAGCTACTGTCGTGGACATGAAGTCTTCACCTCAACGCTGGCGAAAAAGATTTAGACCCGAACGACATGTGCACAATCATTCATGCACTTTGGACTGTCCAAACATCTATTTGTCCGAGAGCAACGAGCAGAATACAGACAGAGTGCGATTTCTGACCTTTGGCCTCTGTATGCACGACCTTTGATTCTGGACCATTGTTTGGGTATTCCCGGGAGAAGCACCTCGTTCGCGCGCCAGAGATGGATGCTCTTGCAGGTCGCCATGCTTGCCTTCCAGGACGTGTTCGAGAGTGTTTCCAAGATATCAGTGTGGTGTCCCATAACACAAGTCACCGAGTCTCAATATCATCGACCTTCTACAGGAAGGACTCGTGCGACAAAGTACAGAAGCAACCACTTCGTCGAGCTGACTCTCCAGCGCGCATCATATTTCTCCTGGATTTGAACGAGGCGCAAGTGCTGGGTTGGCTCGCCGACGGCACGTTTCTGGAGAGTGACCGCAGAACCAGTCGGCCAGTGCTGACGCCTATACTCCATGCTTTCAGACGAGTACAAGATTCGTAGGATATGCCCTGTGACAGTTTTTGCTGGTCCGGGAGGACGCACCAGGGGAATAGACAGTTTGCGAAACAAATCATCCAGTACAATCAAAGTTTATCAAGTAGGGACTCGCACTTTTGGTCATTGCGAAAGTCTTACCACAAGTTCACCGCAATTTCGCAAGTTCACATTGCACCAATGGGAGCGCATTTTTTTCACATTTAAAAAAAAACACAAGCAGACGCGAACTATGCTTACACGCTTTAATTAAAGAAAGGTGGTGTGCTTGCTTTTAAACTCCATTGTTCTTCCCTCCGTCCTTACTCATTAAAGCCCACAGAGATGGAGCGCGATACAGACAGTGACGCCAGCAGCATCTACAGCAATGACACCGATATCGACGAACTCCACGCTGCATACGAGCTTAATGCCGTGGACGAAGTTCTACATGATGACGATGAATTCGATCATGTTCTATGGGATCAAGAGTTCGACGGTTTTGAGCGCAACCTTTTGGATGCTGAGCTCGAAGGCCAGATCCAGTATGAAGCTGACCTGGCCGCGAACAGAGAGGAGGGGGTGGTTATTCCTGATCGCGCTGAGTATTTCTTTGGTGTGGATGAGATTGGGGCCGAGTTGGAAGACATGCGGCTCGAGGCTGCCAACGAGATCGAGAACGAGGATCATGAACCCGAGCAGGAGCAGGGAGACTTCGAGGATGACAGGAGAGTTCAAGCTATTGTGGCAGGTATTGAGCTAGTGAGAGGGGCTGTTGAAAGGATGGATGATGAGGTTGTGCCAGATCCTGATGCTCAACAGCAGCTGCAGCGCTTCATTCCAGTATTACAACTTATTGCACAGGCGATCCAGGTGATGCATGGAAACTTTGTGCAAATACGGCCCAGGATTGAGCGACCTCGCATACCCAACATTCGTTTCGATCTCGAACAAGTCCCTAGACCAAACTGTCAGCTCTATTTCCGCTTTTACCAGGAGGACATTCTGGAGATGGTTGTTGCATTGCGAACGCCAGAGATCTTCGTCCTTGACAATGGCTCCAAAGTTCACTCTGTCGAGGCGCTTTGTATCGTGTTGCGTCGACTTGCATATCCATGCCGCCTCTTTGATCTCATGGATATCTTTGGACGATCACAATCTATGCTATCACGCATTTTCAACCACACCCTTCGGTTCCTCTATCGGCGATGGAGGCAAAGACTCTTTTGGGATCCCATCCGTCTCGGCCCCGACAAGTTGGAAGAGCTTCATTATGCTATCCGAAGGCAGAATGCACCATGCCTTTCAAGCTTTGCATTTATTGATGGTACTGTTCGTGCAGTTTGTCGTCCAATCGATGGGCAAGAGCAAATCTACAATGGCCACAAGCGCGTTCACGCCATGAAGTATCAGTCAGTTGCCACACCCGATGGTATCATTGTTCACCTGTCTGGGCCGTTTGCAGGGAACCGCCATGATTCGCGTCTTTTCGAGATGTCTGCCCTTGCTCCGATTCTTCGAGCATGTGCAAAAGGGTATGACAACCGCCAGATGAGTCTGTATGGAGATCCTGCTTATATACTGAGCGACATCATGCAGCGGCCGTTCCACACAGCAGGCATCTCTCCTGAGGAGCAGCGTTTCAATGAGTGTATGTCTAAGGTCAGAATTGGTGTTGAGTGGTGCTTTGGTTACGTTCTGCAATACTTCCCCTTCTCTGATTTCAAAAAAAATCAGAAGACACTTCTTATGGAGGTGCACACCCACTATATTTGCTCTGTCCTTTTTGCAAACATTCGCTCCTGCATCCGACAAACAAACTCATCCTCTTCCAAGTTTCGAGTCAACCCCCCCACTCTTGATGAGTATCTTCATGATTAAACAAGGCAATCAAAACGTTTATATTAAGGGATATAGTAGTGCTGTGTATTAAAAAAAAAAAAAAAAAAAAAAAAAAAGAGGATTGAATTTAAATCTTTTTTCGAATATCCGAAACGAGTCCGTTGATGTTTTCCATGAGTTCCAACATTCTTTTCTCAACAGTACTTGCTCGTGGAGCCTGTGATCGCGGAGCGCGTCTGTTGATAGGGTTGAAGCGAACAGATTCAGCTGTTGCCAGGCGGTTTGGATTCGAAGATGTTGCTGTGGTGGTAGATGATGAACTTGAGGAAGAAAAAGATGATGAAGTCGAAGAAGAGGGATCCATGGATGATGAGGATGCTGCCGTGGCCGATGAAGTCGTGGGCATGCTCATCTGTCGTAATGACTCCTGCCTGTTGGTATTGTGGTGTAGTAAATGAGAATCAGTTGGTTGTTCTTGCAAAGTTAATATTAGATCACGGGGAAGAGCACCGCCCCCAGAATAAAAGAATAAACGGTCTGGTACCTGAACCAGAGTCTTCTTTCCACCAAAATCATTTGTATCACACATTGTATTCGTCCAGATTGTCCGGATAACCCGCATCAACGACAGGTACTGACTACCACCGTCAGCAACCCATGCAACGAGATACAATCAACAGGAAATGCCGATCCTGATCATTCGCCACCTTTGCGCCGTCAATCGCTCTTATTTTAGACATTGTACTTGCCCCGCAGCGCTTCCCCGATTACCGATCGTCTCATTGAGCATCCGTCATCGGCCCACCCTCGTGAAACGGCATTATAAAGGTACAACGGAGGCCTGATCAGCAACTATTGGCATACAACGACTCCAGAGGGGTGGACTTCATTGTCACGACTCCTCACCTCATCGGACATCACAATATGCGAACTCCTTGCAACTACCCCAGTCATTCCCAAAGGAATATAGTCCTAGCTCGCACCATTTAGCTAAACAGATCCCCATATTTATTCCTTTCCATTTACGTCTAGTCTATTTTACCTTTGTGTTCTTACATTCCGATCTAAAGGAGGACCCTGCACCACGAACCAGTAAGTGACCGAAGCACAGCCTTGCCGAAGTCCTATTCGCGTGGTAACTCCCGTTGTAAATAGAACTAATGGTAGAAGTTATAGAACCCGTTAGTAGACCCCCTACACCGCACCGAAAACTGGTGGAGAACCTGGGCAACCAAGGACCGTTCCAGATATTAAAAATCCGATCACAACAAGAAAAATTTTCAGGATGTCAAATTCCGACCCAGCCCCAGAGAATGTCACAGACTGGCAGAATGCGCTTCTCAAGATGATGGCGGGAATTGAAGCATCGCAGAAACAGCAAGCGGCGAGATTGGAAGCTCTAGAACAAGAGATAATAGCTGGAAGGGGAGGTCCAAAGAGAAGCACGAAGCGACATTCGCCACGGAACAGTAGCTCGGACGAGGAGGATGCTAACTGGCCCAACCCTCCCACTGAGAGAGAAGAGGAGCAGACCTATGTCCACACTGATTTTAGACCAGCCCGGACTTTTGCGGCAACAACACCAAATATGGACAGTGTTAGAACGGACAACGCCCCCACTACACAGATGATCAGCGAGGCGAACAAACGCATGTACAACGGCAAGAAGTTCGACCTCAAGGTGGAGGATGCAGATGAATGGACGGATTACTTCCGAGGATACCTAGGATCCAACATCGGCGATCTACACGCTCAGTTGCAGAATGGAGTCGCCATTAGGATGTTGGGACAGGCCTTAGTCGGAGTGACGGAGCAATTCTGGTTTGCAGAGGCGCGCCAAGTCAAGAACAATTGGCATGAAATCCTGGACGATTTCGAGGAGAGCTTCACCCCAGACCACATTAGACAACGAAACTGTTCCATCGAAGGCGTGAGAGCATGCAAGCAAGAAGAACATGAGTCGACTAGGATATTCCTGATTCGATTCGAACGCGCCGTCGCTCGATACAGACGTGCTACTGTCAAGAAGCGAATTAACATCGAGGAACGAAACGTCGTAGAGGCCTTGTACGCCAACGTGAGATCGGACGAGGTCGCCAAAAGCGTTAAGAAGACCACTTCGATCGTGAAGGCGCTAGCCGCGGCAAAGGCTCGAGCCAACGAGGAAAGTCAATGGGAATTCTTGCGAGAGAACGATCCCGAGCCCATGACCAAGCCCGACAGGTCAAAGGTCAGCCAGAACGAGAGGCCAGCGAGAGCTACGTCTGCAGAGAAACTTTCGATCAGGAAAGGGCCCAGCAAAGAAAGCGAACCGGATATAGCAGCCTTGATAAAATCCGTGGGCGAGATGAAAATCATGATCAGCAAACAGGGAAGCTATGGTGGAAACCCAAGAGCTCCCGGGGCCCCAAGGACCCGACCTCGCCCGAACATCGAGGATGTGGAATGCTTCAACTGTCACAAGAAAGGGCATTACTCAAACGACTGCAAGGCGGAACCGGAGAAGCGGACGATGTTGGCAACCGTCGAGGCCTATAATCGCGTGGAATATCCAGCCGCAGGATCCTTCGTCGGCAACGCCGATTTAACTCATGAGGACTGGGACGAATACCGGGAGGAGCAAGAAAGGCGCGAGGAGGATTTTCGGATGGGATGGTGGAATTAGGTCAATCCCACCGTCCCGAGTATACCAGACCGCCCGAAGCATTCGCGTTTGCAGCGTTAAAGCAGAGATCGAATAGGGACCAGAGGAAAGGCTTCACCTTACCGTTCCAGCGGGTCACAGCTCCATTGCGACCTGATCAGATCAAGAAGCTTGCCACTGCCGCCGCTTCTAGAGAAAGGCCCGCACCTCAACAATTGGCAGCCACACCGACCTCCAGGTGGCCAGCTATCACCCCGAACCCACCTCAGAACGAATCGGCAATGCCCCTACACTCCTCACTACCACCACCGACGGCGAACATCTTCCAGCCCGGCCACACTCCGTCGTTCCCACCAGCGAGGTCGGCAGCGGTAGATGCCACGCCAACAGTGCCCATGGATGAGGCAGATATGGAGATCGATGAAGACGAACCGAAGAAGAATCCCAGAGCGGAGAGGAAGTCCAAAGCGGAGAAGGTCACAGCTGTGGAAATCCCTCCTCACCCCCGCAAGAAGGCGACACCCAAGAAAAATACCGAGACCCCCGCAATCCCGAAGGAGACTAAACGGGCTAATGCGAAGAAACCGAGAGACGAACGTGTAAAGGCGAGTAATATCGGGAACAAACCCCTGGTTCGGAAGCCCACACTCGCAAAGGCGAAGAACGGCTTGTCGGAGATGAAAGCCAAGATGAAATCACTGCCCGCACCCAG